AGACTGCGTTTCCCTTTAATTTTAACTCTTTCTTCCTCTTTTTGACTTTGTTTTTTTCTGTATACATTATATATTTCCTTCACTCTAATTTTGTTTTAGAGATCATTCGCTTCCATGCATTTCCCCCCCCGTTTCCCCCCCCAAGCATTCTTTCCCGCCCTGAGTCCGCAAGGAGAAGGGCGGGATATAAAAAATAATTAAATAAATAAATAAATACCTCCCATTAATGTAATTTTGGTGCTCTGTGTTTCTTTTCACTCACGCTCCTGTAAGCATCTTCCACAAACTCTTTCCCAGCTCTATGTTTCCATTCATTTTGGAAAATAGATCATTTTTAGAAAATAAAGTAACATTATAATTGAATAGATAAGATGTGTAATAAGATTAATAGACCTCTGGTTTAACATGGTGAAAAATAGATAACTTTTAGCAAATAGAATAAGATTATATGTAAATAGAGAAGATGTGTATTTAGAATATTAGATTTTGTTATAAAAAGGGAAAAATGTAGAAGTTGAGATGAGGGAAACTCTGGTCACCTAAAGCTTGGAAATTATAATATCGAATGTTAAGTTGAATATTGAGGGGAAATTAAAGCCTGGGGGAAAAAAAAGCAATAACAGGACATTGATTGTATATAAGAATTGAATGCAAAATTAAGATATGTATAAGCTAAAAATTATTGATAAATGTAGCAAAGATGGTTTTACTTAGTTGATAACAATAAGATATATCAGCTCAATCTGAGATAGTGGACATTAAGGGAAAAAGAGAGGAAATGTCTGATGTTGTAACTTGAGATTTGTGCTAAAGATTTATGTATGTTATTGAATTATTGATTACCCAGTCACCACGTTGCTTTTTAAATGTTTAATTGTAAAATTAGAAAAATAATAAAATATTATTTTAAAAAAAGACTACAGCTTCTGTTTCCTGCATTCAAGGACCCCTTCATGGGGACCTATTTCCTTTTTGAGCTTCACAAGCAAACAAGATACATATTTTTCTTTTTCATTCTTAATATTTTTTTTACAATTTAACCTTCCCACACTTCAGGTTGCCTTCTTCCACACTTCCAGGTGGGCTCAGTTATTGAGTCCAGCAATGGGCTGTAGGAATAATCTTGAGGAACAGAAGGGAGAATTGCAACAAGACAACGTCAAAGCAGAAATGCAATTTGAGAACAGACCTCAGACAAGTTTAACATACAAAACACGCAATGGAACGAACATGTTCAGTTGACTCCCGTGATGTATTTTAGAGACAATTGCAACTGAAATTATTGTCTGTGCTGATTTCCTTTCCCTGGCTGTATATTAGTACTAGTAGTCTAAATAGAGAGATTTTTATTATTATTATTTTTCTGCTTTTTATTGAAAGCTAATTCCAACTTCCCAGCCTTCTGAAAGAGAGCTAAACAATGGTCTTTTAAAGAGTATGCACTTATCCTTCAACAACAGGTTTTCTTCAGGCACTGAATATGTTTGGATTGCAAAACAGTTTTCTCTGTAAATACCATTCAGCCCATTTAATCAATGCTTTCCTTCCAGATAATACTTACATGTTACCTATATAAATATTGGGCCACACTTCATCCAGCGCATTTAATTCCAGCCTACAGCTGTCTATACGGCACTCCAGTTCTTTCACGGAGGCTATGCCGGATCTGGCGGTGTCCATTTGCAGAGTAGCAAGTAAGTTGGCTACCAAGTGATTGTTGCACAGTTGGTGGATATCCTATCACTGCAGGACCTTGCTGTGTGTGTGCCAGTTACTTTTTGACATCTGACAGTGGGAAGCAGGTGCACACCTTAAAATGTCTGGATTTATCTCCCTGCACTCTGGCACAGAAGACGCAGTAGCAAATAATTCAACATACAAACCAGAAAGACTGCATTATTTTTCCTCTTGTGATTTATTTTTTCTAGGACAGAATTATTTGTCCAAGTGTGTGTGTGGGGGGAGAGGAAAGTGTAGTGCAATAAGCAATAATGGATGGATGATGCGGCCTGGGGCTGTTTTCCACATAAGGCGTTTTATGTGCCATTACTCTGACTCACACTTGTTTATTTATTTATTGGCAGGGAACCAAAAAGCCTTATTTCCTACTTGTAATTTTTGTGCTTTCTCACTATTTATTCCATCTTTTTTCCTTTTTAATTAAAAAAACCTGTTAGAGATTAAAGAATGACTAGCAGCATATTCTTTGATATTATGGATCATTTTCTAGAAAAACCTAGTGCCAGGGGTGGAATTAAATCAAATCTGTGGCTGGAATCTTTCCTATTTTCCTTCCTTCCTTCCTTCCTTCCTTCCTTCCTTCCTTCCTTCCTTCCTTCCTTCCTTGCTTCCTTCCTTCCTTCCTTCCTTCCTTCCATTCATCCTGGAGGTCCATCAGCAATGCAACAGAGTTATTTTCTTTTAATTTTATTATTGTTGTCCAGGATGGTATAACTCTTATTTATTCAAGAAGGGCTACCCTCAGGATGAGTAGTTGCTTCATTGAATAGGAGTGAATATAGCTGGGAATTTTGGGGAAAAATGGGGAAATTAACCACTTTACAATGCCTTAGTAAGGCCACACTTGGAATACTGCATCCAGTTTTGGTCACCACGATGTAAAAAAGATGCTGAGACTCTAGAAAGAGTACAGAGAGCAACAAAGATGATTAGGGGACTGGAGGCTAAAACATATAAGGAACGGTTGCTGGAATTGGATATGTCTAGTTTAATGAACAGAAGGACGAGGGGGGACATGATAGCAGTCTTCCAGTATCTCAGGGGCTGCCCCGAAGAAGAGGGAGTCAAGCTATTCTCCAAAGCGCCTGAAGGCAGGACGAGAAGCAATGGATGGAAACTGATCAAGGAGAGAAGCAACTTAGAACTAAGGAGAAACTTCCTGACAGTTAGAACAATTAACCAGTGGAACAACCTGCCTCCAGAAGCAGTGAATGCTCCAACACTGGAAGTTTTTAAGAAGAGACTGGACAGCCGTTTGTCTGAAATGGTGTAGGGTTCCTGCCTGGGCAGGGGGTTGGACTAGATGACCTTCAAGGTCCCTTCCAACTTTACTATTATTATTATTATTATTATTATTATTATTATTATTATTATTATTATTATTATTATTATTATTATAACAAGCAAATGGGTCAGCAGGAGTGGCCACAGAAAGGGTCAGTTAAGCCAAGGCCACGTGACTAAAGCTCTTTTTCGTAGTCTGCTTGGGACGGGCTGAAAAATATTTGAAATAAAAATGTAACTAAATGAACATGCATTACAGTGTAAAAGATAAATATAACTAGTCCAGTTGGACTGCAACTGTAAGAGCTCAGAAGCAAAAGTCTTCCAAAGTTGAGGAAGGCAGGATTTAATAAGATGAAAAATTAAATAATAAGCTCCTCCCCAGCCTTCTAGGTGGAAAAAGAAGCAAACAGCAACATGAGGAAGAAATAATCCATATTTTTCTCTACCGTTAAAAGTGTAAACTAGCGGTGTCCAATCTTGGCAACTTGAAGACTTGTGGACTTCAGCTCCCAGAATTCCCCAGCCAGCAAATTCCACAGCCAGCATGACTGGCTGGGGTATTCTGGGAGTTGAAGTCCACAGCTCTTAAAGTTGCTGAGGTTGGACACCCGTGGTCTAAGCTCTTTAGTCACAACAAAGAACTACTGCTATTAAACCTCACAGTCACTACCTATATAGCATCCAGAAAATCAATCAAAAGATATTTTTCCCCCCTCTTGCCAGATTCATACTCAAGATTTCTTTTGCGCCCCTTCTACATGATGGCATCGCTTTCGACCTTTCCCACAATGTATTATGTTATTTGATTAAAAACTATCCTGATAAGCCATCTAGGATTACTTTGTTCCCTGCCTGGGGACTAACTATTGGGTTTAACCAAAATAGATTTTTTTATTGGCCAAGTGTGACTGGACACACAAGGAATTTGTCTCTGTCAGCAGTCTCTTCAATCTGTATTGCAACATAAAGGCTAGATAGAGAGCCCTCAGCTTGTGAAACCACCCCATTCTTGGGGAAAGAAAAAGAATTTCGGCGTCAGCATTTCTACATGTAGATTAAAAAGCACTTTCAGTGCCAGGACTTCAGCGAGGGCTGACACCAGGCGTGGAAAGTGCCAATTCAAGCTAGGATACTTTTCACAATCGAATCTATTTGGTTTTGCCGTGACAGGATATATTTAAAATGCCCAGCCTTATCCACATGTGTCAAATTATGTTTGGGTCAAGGAAACTTGAATTCTAAATAACTGCTTTTGCATGAAACAGTGCATGGAGTATTAAACTGCTTGTTGTCTCTTGGTTTGAACAGCAATTCCAAATATATTGAATGAAGTCCCTTGGAAATAGGAAGCATGACACCACCAGGGAAAATAAATGATCCTTCCTTCCTTCCTTCCTTCCTTCCTTCCTTCCCTCCCTCTCTCTCTCTCTTTCTTTCTTTCCAAGGCTCTTGTTTTCTCTTTTTCATTAGTCTTTCATTAGTCCACATCAGTTCCCTGTGGACTAACATACAAAATAGAATAGAATAGAATTCTTTATTGGCCAAATGTGGCTGGATACACAAGGAATTTGTTTCCGGTGCATAAGCTCTCAGTGTACACACAAGTAATAGTGATAATCATGATCATATACAACATGAAAATACATTCATCATAAATCGTGAAATATAACACTTCATCATAAATCATAAGATGCAACAGTGATAGTACTAGCTAAGCAAACAACATAAATCATACTAGGGTACAAAAAAAACCACACAAAAACACAAAAACAGTATAAATTGTAAGATACAAGAAGCAAAGTTATAGTCATAGGAAGATAATACGAAAGATGAGGAGTATCATAGTAATACAGCTTTACTAGTATTTTGACAGTGGTGTAGGAATTAGTTGTTAAGCAGAGTGACGGCACGGGGAAAAAAACTGTCCTTATGTCCTTATTGACAGACTCAATTATTCAATAAATAAATAATTCAATAAATACAACATTCTGCAGACATTGCAAACTTTACCTGACAAGAAGCAATATCTGCAAGTCAGCTAAAAGAATAATTTTGGTACATATTGTGCCAACTGACAGAACATCTGCAAGATATGTTCCTTCTTTTAAAAATGTACATTCCATTTCTTTCTTTGTTCATTTTTTCTTAGCTGGAGGTCCAGATTTCTTAATTGTTTCAGGAAACCTCGATTAGGGAAGATCCACCGATGCTCTTTTACTGTCTGTATTGCTTTCACCAGCGAGAAATGATGATAGATCATGAGGTACGCCAGCACCAAAGAGGAGGATCTGCTTATCCCAAAAGCGCAGTGGACAAAGATTTTGCCTGGAAATAAAAGCGATAGATTGGCGTTGGAGTCCAGAAACTTCAGCTGAGGCAAAATGCAGTGGGGCAAACAGTTATGGTAGGGCAGCCATAAAGCTTCTAAATTGAATCCAAGGTGCTGGCACTGAGCTTTAAAGCCCAACCATGCACAGGATCAGTTATTTGTGGGACCCCCCTCTCCCACCTCACTAGATCTCACTAGAATTGATTTGTTACAGGAGCTACATATGGTGGTCCTATGGGGGCCCTTTTCTTCCATGGCGCCCATATTGTGGAATCTTTCCCTCCCCCCGAGATAATGTTGTCCTCATCATCCTGAGCTTCTGAAAGTCCCTCAAGATCTGGTTATTAAGCCTGGGGAACCCCAGGAGACAGGTGAACTCATGAAGTGGCTCCCTTATTATTAACATCCCTCTATTATTCCTCTTCCTCCTCTGCTTTTATAATTTCTAATTCTGCTTAATAATTATTATACAATGGCTTTAACTAAGGACTGTCTTATCTATTTGACTCTTTCTATAGGAACGTTGTACACCACCCACAGCCATGTTCCATATAAATTTAATTAATAAATAAATTAAAAATAAAAATAATCTTTATATATGGCGTTGTTGTTTTTTTTTAAAAAAGCACAAAGGAAAGCAAAGGCTTTTGGCCAAAGGAAGTTTGTTAATCTTGAGGGCATGTGAATGGATGCCATCGCAAAATGGCTGCCACAGAGGACTTGCTAATTTACACAACCACCTGCCCATTGGACTGTTGCAATTGCTGTCGCCTGGGCCTATCCAAGATGCTGCAGTTTGCCTGGATGGAGAATGGTGGGGTTCCCCCCAGTGAGGGAAGAAGATCTGGCTGCTCTCACAGGCTCACTAGGATCTTGGAGGTCCAGGATGACAAGGCCATCGGGAAGCCATGAAGCCAGGCAACATGGCCACTTGATTTGAAAGCATTATCAAGGAGGAAACTGTAGGAGATGACCAGGCTGAGCCTGAGGGAGGCGTCAAGCGTGTTATCAGTCACGAGTCCCTGCATGCCCACAAGCGATCTCAGTCCAGCCCACCTTGAATTCCTTTCTTAACTCTCGCGCATTCCCTTCATGGTCACTTGGCCAGATTCTTGTAGACAGCTTAAGCTTGCAATAAATCTTTATACTCATTTGCAGGGAAGATTCATAAAAACTCAAAAGGGATGATCTTTCTTCCTTAACTTCAGATATTCAGATTTATTTTTTTTATATAATCTTGAACAAATGTCCAAGTGAATGCCCAGTCACAGCTTAATACCAGCCATCCTGATTTCCATACCTCCGGGTGTAGTCAAAGCCTTGTGTATAAATTCCGCAGAAGAATAAAAATATGGGCTTATATCAAAACTGGGAAGATCGTGAGCTGGTACACCACGGTATTCAATCGTTGCACCATAAAAATCATGCGACTCTTGGCAATAGAGAGTGCCGTGGGCTGCATTTAAAATGTGGCTAATCCCCATTTTCCATAAGTCGAATCTGCTATGCGCTGCTACGCTGAAGAAAAGATAGATATTGTCAGGAAAAAGTATTTAGATCTTTCTTCCCCCTAAAATTTAAATCAACTCACCTTTCATATGGGAAATATCTCACCGGGTGTAAACACCAATTTCATGCCATGCAAAGATGCTGACAAATTTTGGTCAAAAATCAAAGTGCAATTGCTTGACTCAAAGGAGACTTATCATGTATCATGGAAGAAGCTGGTGTCTTTTGGCAATTGCTAATCTAACTTACCTGCTCAAAATACGATTTAATAAAACATTAGACTCCAGTACGAGCCCCTAGGCTTGGCTTTTCAGACAGGGATATAACTATGCATAGCTGTTACAGTAGTTAATCACATCAAGTAATCCTTGGACGCAATTTATTTGGTTGCCTTAATTATATAGGAAAAGGGCTGTTTAGAGAGGCAGACATGCTCTCCGACAAACATACTTACTGATCTCCTAAGAAAAGATTAGGCCAGACTTCATCAGTGTGGTGACAGGAGGACCTGCCAGTATTCAGGAGCTGCTCCAAATCTTGAACACTGGGGCTGTCTTCCGTCGGGGGTCTACGATCTTCAGGGCCCAGCGAAACGCCCTCGTCAGCCATGGTCATTTAAAGTAGTCGGTTGACAACCTGACACCCAGGCTCTATCGTTCACTCTGCTCCGGAGCAGGTCACTTGTTATTTTGAAAGCAGAGCAATGACAGGAGCTGGACGTCAAAAAAACAAGTGTCCAGTTGAACCGAAGGTCTGCAGTCGAAGAGCAGGCTCCCCGAAAGAAAATTGCCTCCCCATGGGGGAGGCACAAAGTCTAACAGCTGGAAGAATATAATTGGAGAGTCACCTTCTTCCTGGCAGGAAAAAACATGTCCGTGGCCTGCATTTTCTTCCCATTCAGCCACCCCCAGAGATCCATTACGATGCCCCTCCGGCTTTGATCTTCCAAGGGAAAACTGGACAGCACTCAACCCGATCTGAGCCAGCCGTGGCAGGTGCCAATATTGGAAATACAGCTGGGGGCTGGGAACGTCCGGCCAACTTTACATCCCATGGTGAGGGAATGCCCCCTCAGAAGGTTCCCCGGACCCCTGCATGAACGACTTCATCTCGAGGGCAGTGCTGTCCAATGGCTAAATGACCTAGATAACCGGCCTCAGGCTTAGCCATAACTGCTCATGCATAATTTTATACATCATTCGTATTGTGCATTTTTAAACTAATTCACTCTTCTGGTGTTTTATATATTTTTACACATTTTATATGCTGTTTTTGTGAATCTTATGCACTAATGCTATATTCCCCAACCCCCTGGGCCGCAGCCGAAACTGGGCCGCGGGAGAAATGGGCACGCGGGCACGCGTGAAGCTCCACTCACGTGAATGGAGCTCTGCATGTGAGCACAAGCGCCTTCTATT